TTTTTGCGCGATCGGAAGATGTTGTCCGATTTTAATAATTTTTTTTTGTTATGCTAGTATACACCTAAGGCAACTTTTCCGCGGTATAGCAAATCGAAAATATAACTTTGACATTTTTCGATCCACCCTAATGTATAATGCGGGGTCTACAATGCGAGTCGCAGAGTCGCAATCGTAAGAATAATCGACTGCGATTGGTCAATTCAGCTTGGGACCTCCCTCAATCCGTGACGGGCGTCTTAGTGAACTCGACCACTGAGGCTGTAATTTTTATATTTATATATTTTTTACTTATTTACCACTATATTTTTTACTTACCTTCACTTCCATGTCATTCAATTATCAAGATTTATTTATATATTTAAATTCATGTATTTTAGTTTCGAACAAAATAACGAATGTATCTGCATAGAAATGTATTTCTTTAAAAATTTATACCTACATAAATATTCATTTTGTTTATGTATATTGCTGTTTTATGTAAATGGATTTTGCATACTGTATAAAATTGACATTAATTTTTATTATTTTATATTTATTGTATTGTCTTAGAATTATAAATTAAATGACACTAAATTTTTGTATTTATTTTACCTTTAATTGTTGAATTACAGATATTTTAATTAAAAAAGTTCAAATTCGCGCTGTTTACACGAGCGTCACCGCCATATGTGATGACTACTTTTCCCTTCACCGCTCTGGCTTCACCCCCGCTAACTTACACATCCCCAGTGAGAAGGCTGATGTCAAATCGACGTCGATCCGACGTCGATTCATTGAAAACAGATCGACATCGAAATTAACATCGAGAATTAGCCAATTTCGATCAAATTGTTTTAGCATTAATATAAATCGACATCGATTCAACATCGATTCATTGAAAACACATAGATATCGAGATTAAGAGACTACTATATCATATGAGGTGTGCTGGGGCATTGATCATCGATCGATGACCGATATCGATTCTGTAAGAAATATAGCAGCCGCGACTCTACGAGAAGTTATGTGTTTTGTACTTTGGTAAAACATTGATTAAAATATTAAAGGGGTTGTCCATTAATACAAAAGTTCGCTTTTATGAAGTTTGCGAGAACTTTAGTTACAACTTTGTTTTTTCCTGAGATTTATGCATTATTTACTTCGACAATACTGTGATAAAATATTTTATTTACTTCGATAAAATATTGATAATTTTTTTTTACATCGATTAAAATATTTTTTCACAACAGAATGGAGATTGTTCTGATATCTTAATTATTAAAATAAACATTGATTTAATTTGATTATATATACATACTTCATTTATTATTTCCTACAATATTTATCTGAGCAGATAAAGATCGATTTGACGTCGACTAGATGTCGACTAGACGTCAATAAATTGTTCTAGCTTCCTAAATGTAATTTTTTACTGCGTTAAACTATATCGTTAAATTTTTCTTTCTGCATATCATCAGTGACAAAAAGAGATCGATGTCGATTTTAATTTCGATTTCATTCCGAACACGCATATCGACGTCGATTTGATGTCGGATCGACATTTTTTGTCTCACTGGGCCGTCCATATATTCTTACGTCCATGCTAAGGCCGGTATTCATAGTCAATTCTTATTTCAAAATCATCTTAAGTGTTGTCTTAAGATGCTAATACGGCTCTGTGATTGGTTGAAAGCACATTAAGAGTGTACTTAAGATAATCTTAAATATAAGAACGGACTTTGCTCTTATGAATACCGGCCTAATTGGCAATTTCGCGACTCTAGATAAGAAGCCGACCGCGCTCTTTGAAACCAGAGCCTCTTTCTTCGTGTGTCCTTTAGCTTCGTTCCGAGTTCTAGTGCGCTTTGCCGTGTATTGCTGTATAAACTGAAACGCTTTTCTCTTTTGGACTGTGCATTGAATTGTGAAATACATTGGTTAGTAACGATTCGTGTTTTTTAACTTTTGTGCTGTGCTTTCTTTCCTGTGCTTCGTCCGCTCAGACTTGGTCCGATCTCGCGACTCAACCGCGCTTCCAAACAAATACCTACGTTTATTATTGGGATTGAAATAGCACAAAGTTGCCTCGAAGCATTGTTAACATTTTATAAATTCATTGTAATAATTCAAATTGTTTGACCGCCTTCTTTTAAACCTGAGAGAAAACAATTGAAGTCATAAGAAATCGATAATTTCGAAAATATTTCTTTTGTCAAATAAGAAGAATTATTTAAAGCGATACTTGTTGATTTCTTTACAAAACTGTAAAAGATATTGAAAAAATCTATTATGTGTTGCATACTCTTTTCAAACATGCCATCTCCTTGCGTAGATCGACTATATGTATCGACGAACGTAAAAACTTGATTTGGTTCTATCTTTGTAGATAGAGACTCATACGCAGCGGAAAAGTTTCCATAGCGATTTTCTTCGGTAAGATGCCTGCACAATCTGATACTGTCAACGGTCCCGCGATGCAGGAATCCACTCGTGGAAATGGAATACCGTATTCCATCAATGGTGATATCGTCATTACGGGTATATCAGGTAATTGTCGGTCGCGAATGACTGTATCATGAAAACAAAATATATTGAAAAATAAACGTTTGTTTCAGGCCGCCTGCCTAGATCGTCTAATATTGAGGAATTTAAAGAGAATTTAATGAAAGGAATGGACATGGTCTCTGATGACGAATGTCGTTGGTCAGCAGATATGCACGAGTCATTACCCAGATATGGCAAAATCAAGGACCTCAGTAGCTTTGACGCCTCATTTTTCGGAATACCACCTAAGCTGGCAAACATAATGGACCCACAAGCACGTATACTGTTAGAAATCACGTACGAGGCGATAGTTGATGCTGGTGTCAACCCTTCAACCGTAAGAGGATCACGTACCGGGGTGTTTATAGGTGTCAGTAGGTCGGACACGGATGAGGTTTTGGTGAGAAATACGGATGCCATAAATGGTTTGTACCTGACGGAAAACAGCACCAAATATTTCTTCAGACAATTATCTTCAAACATTTTACCTAATATAATCGCTAAATTCAATGGTCTTATCTAAAGATAAAAAAATGACTTTTGACAGTACATTTTACCTTCGTTACACGTGCGAACAATCATTGGCCACTTTGCTATTCGTCACACGCATCTGTTATGACCTGAGAGAAGTCATACGATATCCCCTGACAATGAGAATAAATCGAAAAACTTGCGTCTGCTTGCAGGATACGACTTGCTCGGAAATGCAAAAACGATGCTTGCCAACAGAGTCTCCTTCTGTTTTGACTTTAATGGACCTAGTTGCACGGTGGACACTGCTTGTTCATCGGACTTGTACGCCCTGCATCAAGCAGTTACCGCAATACGCATGGGTGAGTGCGATGCTGCGATCGTCGGTGGTATGAATCTTGTTTTATTACCACAGAGATCACTTCAACTTTACAAACTGACTGTGATGTCCGAGGAAGGCAAGTGCAAATCGTTCGATGCTTCGGCTAATGGCTACGTAAGGGCCGAGGCGGTAATGGCGATATATTTGCAAAAGGCGAAGGATGCACGCAGAGTATACGCCACGGTGATTCGCACGAAAACAGGCATTGACGGCAACAAGTCCGAGGGTATCACATATCCCAGTGGTGAAATGCAGAATCGATTGATGCGTGAAATTTACAGCGAGGCGGGAATTAATCCTATAGACGTTAGTTACATAGAGACCCATGGTACCGGTACTATAGCAGGTGATCCAGAGGAAGCCAATTCCATCGACAAATTGTTCTGTAAAGGTAGGAAGAGTCCTTTGCTGATAGGCTCGGTGAAATCCAATATGGGTCATTCGGAACCGGCAAGTGGACTATGCTCCATCGCCAAAGTGCTGATCGCGATGGAATCGGGCGTGATACCCGCGAATTTGCACTTTAAAACTCCGAATCCGAATATTCCTGGCTTAAACGAGGGACGGATTCGAGTTGTCGACAAGGCTACATCGTGGAACGGTGGTCTCGTGGGTATTAACTCATTTGGTTTCGGCGGCACCAATGCACACGTTATTCTACGCAGCAATCCAAACCCAAAACAGTCATCATCAATGAACGCCGAACTATTGCCCAAATTAGTCGCTGTATCAGGTCGAACGGAAGAAGCTGTGCATATGTTACTGAATAAAGCGAAAGAGCACTGTAAAGATAACGAGTTTCTATCGTTATTACACATAATGCACAATAACGACATCCCTGGTCACAAGATTCGCGGGTACGAGATACTCAGCGTCGATGGTACACATGAAATGACCGAAGTAGCGGGCTATGACAAAGGGCGTCCAATTTGGTTCATATTTTCCGGTATGGGTTCGCAATGGCCAGGCATGGCTCGTCAATTGTTCAGCATTGAAACTTTCCAACGTAGTTTGCGGCGATGCGCGGATGCTTTGGCACTCTACGACGTCGACCTCATGAATATCATCATGAACGCAACAGACGAAACATTTGAGAATGTGATGAATTCCTTCATGTCTATCGCGGCTATACAGGTCGCTCTCGTGGATGTTTTAACGTTGATAGGCATACATCCGGACGGCGTAGTCGGACACTCCATTGGAGAATTGGGTTGTGCTTATGCCGACGGGGCATTTACACTGGAACAGACTGTCTTAACCGCTTATTGCAGAGGCAAGGCACTATTAGAATCTAAGCTGAAACCAGGTGCAATGGCGGCAGTTGGTTTGAGCTGGGAGGAGGCCAAAAAAATGTGCCCCCCCGATATCACACCGGCTTGTAACAACTCCGCCGACTTAGTTACAATTTCCGGTCCGGCTGATTCTATACACAAGTTCGTACAAATACTGAAGAGTAAGGATATCTTCGTTAAAATGGTAAACAGTTCCGGCTACGCCCTCCACACCAAATACATCGCACCAGCAGGGCCTAAGCTACACGCTTTGCTCGAGAAAATCATACCAAGTCCCAAGCAGAGGTCGGCTAAATGGATCTCTACCTCCGTACCAGAATCCGCATGGGATAGTCCGCTAGCGCAGCTCAACTCCGCCGAGTATTGTGTAAACAATATGATGTCACCTGTGCTCTTCAAAGAGGCGATCGCTCATATCCCAGAAAATGCGATAACGATCGAGATCGCACCGCACGGTTTGCTACAGACAATCTTACGCAGATCATTACCACCAACGGTGACCAATATTAGCCTTCACAATCGGGATCATTTGGACAATCTTGCCTTCCTGCTGTCTAACGTGGGAAAGTTATACATGGCCGGTGCGCAACCTAACATTGCCAAATTGTATCCGCCGATTAGTTTCCCCGTCGGTCGCGGAACACCAATGATCGGGTCCTTGGTCAGGTGGGATCACTCCGTCCCGTGGGATGTGCCTGATTTCAAACAGACATCAGACCAGTCGGGAGAATGTATTGTCCAAATAGACCTGTCGAAAGAAATGGATACGTATCTAGCAGGACATCAGATAGACGGACGAGTACTTTTTCCAGTTGCTGGTTATATTTTAATGGTGTGGAAAACTTTGGCAAAACAGCACGGATGCAATTTTGAACGATTGCCAGTGGTATTCGAAAAATTGCGGTTTTATCGGCCCAACATTATCCCGAAGGAAGGACCGGTGAAATTCTCGATAACTCTTTTCAAAGGATCGGGCGATTTCGAGATTTGTGAGAACGATACGATCGTCGCCAGCGGAAATGTTCGCGTGTCCGAAGGTATCGACAAAGATCACCTGAACTTACCACCTTCAGTTTCGCCTCGAAATCAAGAGACTGTGCTGTTAAATACCAAGGACATTTACAAGAAACTAAGATTGTGCGGATACGATTATTGCGATATCTTCCAAGGAATCAAATCTTGCGATAACGATGGCATTACCGGCGAACTATACTGGTTCAATCAATGGGTTCCGTACATAGACAGCATGTTTCAGTTAAATGTGTTGTTTACCAGCCACAACCTATTGTATTTACCGTCGCATATTCAGTATATAGCAATCGATCCTGTTCTTCATAAACAACTGGTTGAAAACTTACCAGAAAACGGTGGATTGCCAGTGTACCGCTACAAAGACATCAATATTGTCAAATCGGGTGGTATTGAGCTCAGAAAAATAAAATATTCGTTGGCGCCTCGGCGACAAAGTCATGCTAATCTTAATTACGAGCGGTATACTTTCATATCATATGAAAGTTCGCACAGTTCAGTGGAGGATGCAACGAGGGGAAGGGTGGATGCGCTAACTGTACTCTTGCAGATTGTGTATGAAAACACAATGACGTTGAGACTGAAGACCATGGAAGTTGCAGGCGAACGAGATGCAGAAGTTCTCTTAGCGCCGCTTATTTTCAAAATTTCCGATAACCAATTGGGCTCGCCTATCGTAAGGATACTAATTTATTTTAATACTTTGTTCGTTTTGTTCTCTCTTCAGATGGAATATTTCTTATTCGATATTCTTAGAATTGTGTACCTACAATAACAAAGTAAAACACCAAATTCTGTTATTTGACAAACGATTTTAGAATTTAACAATTTTTCCGTCAAGTATTTTTATTTAAATAAACTGCATTGCGACAGTTCTAAGGATTGGATTAAAGATTTAGAGATAAACAAGGAGGATTCCATTGTTACGTCAATATT